CCCCCCAACTGTTAGCAATGCCACCTGTGAGCTGTGGCAGGATTGCCTCGGATCATGTGCAGAGTGCCTTCGCCGTTCAGTTCCCCCCATCACGACTCAAGGTTCATACTAAAATTAGGGCTTTCCAACCAGCCCCTGCAAATATTCGGCTCTCACCAGAGCAATAGAAAGGACGGTTTCTATTCTCTCCTGCCCTTCTTCGCTCCAGCTCCCTCCCACCCTCCTGTGTCGCGGCGGTGACCCTTTCACACTCACCCCTGCTTCCCCACTGCATTCCTACAAGGACCGCTCCCGTGTCTCCTTTCAGGAAGCCACCCGATCTCCCTTCTAAGGGTAGCCGAGCTCTGCTGCCTCCTCTTGCCTCCCTGGCAGCCCCCCCCCCAGCTCCCCAAACCAGTGGCAGCAGCAGGTAAAGGGAGGTCGGCTGCCCTGGGACTTTGGCGGGGTTCCCAGAAAAGGTCTGGCCTGGGGGAGGGGAGGGCAGCAGTAAGAACCCTGCTGAGACCTTCCCTCGCCAGAAGGGCTTGGCTGACCCGGTACAGGGATGAGGGCTAGCAGGGGTGGTGTGTGTGTGTGTGTGTGTGTGTGAGAGAGAGAGAGAGAGAGAGAGAGAGAGAGAGAGAGAGAGAGAGAAACTCAGCTTGCTTCCCTTCTGCTAAGAAAAGTTTGCAGCCGCTCTCCCATGCGCACTCCCCTCTCAGGAGCGCCCTGTGAGCAGCCACGCCTCACCCCAAAGTGGCTGGTGACTCTGCTTTTGGGGAGCTTCCATCGGCTGATAGAAACAACTTCGTGGCGAGGTGAGTACACGTAGATGCTTGCCCCGAGGCCACTTCTACTGGCCGATAGAAGCGGCTGGTGACTCTACCTTTGGGGAACTTCCAGTGGCAGCCTCATGGAGAGGTGAGTGCGCATAGGGCACTCTAGGTGGAGGTGTGAGTGGGGGAAGAAATTAAGTCACCCCCGAAAAGAAGTCCTAGCCGTTTTTTCGGGGCTCAAAAAAAAAATAAGACCCAGCCTTATTTAATGAGAAACACGGTGTGTGTGTGTGTGTGTATGTATGTATAGTTGGAGCCTGATGATGGCAGATGAGATTCTGCTGAAACGTTGCTACAACTTTAAAAGAACAACTACAATGACGTGGGAAAATACCCGAACAAAGCCCAAGGCCATACATACATACATACATACATACATACATACATACATACATACGCATATATTTGCATTGTTTGAAATTCAAAGTTTCTTTATTGTGCAATATTTGATCTGGCTTCAAAATACACTGACCTTTTCATCTTCAGTGATTTTTTTTAAAGCAGTACTTGGATTTGGGAGACACATTATACTTGATCAAAAATTCCATTCCATAAAATGGAAACATTCCTCGCTTCCATGAAAGCCAGCAATTCCCATTATAGGAAAGACTGAGAGACAAGTTCCACTATATTCTCTTTCTTTCCCTACATGTTATAAGACTCATGATGCTCTGGAATGTTTCCTGCTTCTTCAGAAAATCTATTCATATATTGTAGCAGAAAGAAGGACTAGAGTTGTTTTCAATCCAATCCATTCTTCCTAAATGGATCATCATGAAAGGCTACTTCTGAAAAACACATACCTTCCTTCATTTCTGTAAGAAGCAAATGAGACTAAATGGTATCTTAGGATGATATATGGTGTGATGGCATGATAAGATACTAGTAGTCCTTGACTTATGACCATAATTGGGACCAAGATTGCCATTGTATATTGTTGCAATCATAAAATAATGTGTCACATGACCAGAATGACTTACAATAGCAATATTGGCACTCTGCATTACAGTCATTGACTGAGAATTTCATGTTATTTTATGACTGTATACTCCAGTCATATCAGTTTTGGTCCTCCTAGCTTTAGCACTCAGTAAGGTTAGGGGCTTCTTCCAGCTCTCCTTACTCACCTACCTCCCCCTCATCTCTGCCTCTGACTACCTCCAAGACCTGGTCATGGAGTTTAAATTTCTTTTAATTTTAGAAAAGTATCTCTTATTCACTCATAGTGAATATTCACCGAATGGAAACCAAACCAAATCAGTTATCCTTTCAGTTAGTTTTGACTAAATTGTGTCTTTGATGTCTTTGGGAGAAATGGGAGATCTCAGCTGGATCCCAGCCATTAGAAACTTAATATTTATATATATTCTTATTCATGAAATACATGAAAGATTCTTACAACCAATCATCTCCTAGGCATTTGAAGCATAATGTCAGGTATCGCAAGAAATGTAATTTAAGCAACTAACATACTTTGTTTGGAATTCCAGTTTGAATACCAATTAAAATACAGCTACAATAATACATGGTGACTCCTAAATACAACTAGCACCAAAATCCTTTCTAAGGCAAACGTTCAAGGTCATCTTGAATGCCACTAAAGAAGAAGCCAACTAAATTTCTGGCGGCATAATTTCTTTTCTCACTTCAGGCCAGGGTACAACTTTGAGCAAGCTCTTTCTAGGCATTCTCACAAAGCAGACTGTTTTTATTTGGATTAAGCAGTCCTTTATATATCTGAGCACTATAGCAATAGCACTTAGACTTATATACTGCTTCATAGTGCTTTACAGCACTCGCTAAGCAGTAAACAGAGTCAACATATTGCTCCCAACAATCTGGGTCCTCAGTTTTACCATCCTTGGAAGGATGGAAGGCTGAGTCAACCTTGAGTTGGTCAGGATCAAACTCCTGGCAATAGCAAAGTTAGCCTGCAATACTGCACTTTAACCACTGTGACACCACAGCTCATATATAAAGAGAGAGGTTTAAAACTAACAACCAACACTAGGAATTGGCCCTGAAATCTTTCTGGTAACCCCCACAGGGACTGTAAAGTCCATAACGTTGGAGTATCAGATTTCTACAGCCATTGCATTATGTGCCAGGTGTAGGTTTCAAGTCATAGTCAAAAATATGGAGTGCATTAAAGGCTCATCAAAATTCAGGGACTATTCTTTTAGATTTATTCATCTTGCCTCTTCTTTGAGGTACAGACTGTCATTTGCACATCAAGCAAAAGTAATCCAGTGCAGCCATAACATCCATGCTAGTTTGAACTGATTATTTAAATGTTTGGAAGTCCACCAGGTCATTTGAATAAATACAAAATAAGCAAATCACAGCATTGTATCTATCCAAAATGCTGCTATTTTTTTTAAAGAAGCACCTCTTGTAGTCAGGAATTGTATAATTGTCCCCTTTTTATATCTCCCTCGGGATCACAGATCACAGATCCACTTTCATACTCTACCTTTAGGCCTTCTTTGTAACTTTTTTCGTTCTGCTAAAGCACAAAGAAACAATAATACCTGGCTCTCAGGCATCTCCTTCTTACTTATAGTGAGAAGCGTCCCCTGTGATGCAACTCGATTTGCTGGCTTCCCATTCTCAGTGAGGAAGAATTGATCATTAAGTTTTTTTAAGTGATAAAGCTAGGCTATTGGCTTAAAAAATATTAGAAAGGACTAAGGAAAAAAAGCAGTACGAGTAGGAAGGTGAGAATGCCAATTATTTGTGCCTGGAGATATACAGCCTGTGATTTGAAGGTTTAAATTATTGAATGTGAACAATGTGAAAGCCACTTCCTTTTAATCTATTTTGCCTGGATGAGCCATCATATAATGCAAGTTGATTTGTAGCTTCTTTGATCCCATCAACTTGTTCTCACGTATATCTTAGTTAAGGGGTTTTTTCTAAAGTTCCTAAACATTCTAGCTTACTGCAGGGTGTGGTTATCATATCCATTATGAATAAAAGAGAACTTGGGGGCAGGAATAATAAAGCTTATTTGTTCTGTTATTTATTTATTGCAATGGTGGCACTCCTTATTAATTCAGCAGCATGACACAGGGGGGGAAAAGAGATGAAAGGAATGGAAATCCACTTTTCAGGTAGAAAGGATGAGGTGTTTTGAGTTTTCTTCCCTGAATGTGAAATGCTTCACATTCAACATGGGAACAAGGATTGCCTCTCGGTTCACAGCCAGACAGGTAACATCAGTCTCTGTTCCTAAAACAAGCCCAAGGCAATGGCATCAGCAGCTTTCAAGATACACCATAAGTGGAGAGAGAGAGAGAGAGAGAGAGAAAGAGAATATGTCCATGTATGTACTAAGTAAGGAAGATGACAGAGATAGGCCACATTCATTACCAAAGCAGTGAGGGAGGAAAAACATAGCTTAAATTCAAAACAAGATGAAGGAATGACTACTGACTCAGGCAAGTAGTATCCCACCTACCCCCATATGTACATGAATCAGGCAAATATCTCCCTAATTCACATACATATGGAGGGGATACTTGGAGGAGGAGGAAATCACAGTCAGGTTTACAAGATTCTCTTATTATAGATAATATTAATAAAAGTAGTTAGAAACTTCTTATAGAGTTTATTTCTTCTTTGTGGAGCTGAAATCGATCTTGCAAATCTTTAACAGTATATATTCAAATCTATAGAGTTATTTTGGGGCCGGCTGGGACAGAAAATAATATGAGTTTTTGCCCTATATTTTTGAAATCAACTATATCTGCATATGAAGAGTATAAACCATATACAGTAATGGCTGAAGAATTGAGCAATTCTGGCTAAAAGTTCTGAGAGTTGTAATATAATACAGGCAACATCAGAATTAATTATTTAAGGCTATTTAAATAATTAACAATGAGTCATTCACTATAGCAGAATAAAGAACTTGATCTACAGTATGGGATCCTGTAGACCAAGCAACCAGATTAGCTAATTCGCAATAATGGAAATTCTCAGAGAATTATCGTGGGGAATTCTGTGATGAGTTAATGCCTACTTTTTTTAACCAAGCAAAAATAATTTCATCTCATCATACTTTTTCTTTCTGCCTGGATTGTACAGTCTCTGATTTATAATTACAAAAGCAAATCCCACTGCTATGATTGAATCTCTTAGAAGCTTGTTACGCGAAACCATTTCTATTCCTAAATTTAAAAACAACTTCAAGCAACACCATCTTAATCTGGTCATGTTAAAAGTTGGGGAAGCAAAATGGAAGGAAGGGTCTTATAAGGGTCTTATAAGGGTCATCAGTTCAGTCTTATAAGCTGTATCTCTATTCATTTTCATATGCTTGTGTTTCTAAAGCAACATTCCTTATGTTTCTCTTGCAGATTGAAGACATCGGCTATCACAAGCAATACAGAAGAGGCACCTGCTGCTCCTGTTTTCTTCCCTGCAAATCAGTCTAGAACAATCGAGTCCTTTGAAAAGTCATCAATAAAAGGGGATGAAAGGAAGGTAACCCACACTAGATTTCCCGATGTTGTTTATTTGTTTGCTGATCTTATACGCAATAGAAATGGCATGAAATAATTTATTTTTATTGTGTCCTGTACCCCTCTCCCACCAAGATACTAGCAATAATTAAAGCAGGCATTGTATTATACAGGTAGTCCTCAACCTACAACCAGTGATGGGATTCAAATAATTTAACAACCAGTTCTCTGTCCTAATGATTTCTTCCAAAAACAACTTCACCAAACTGGTCAGAAAGTTAACACCCAGTTCTTGTGAACTGGTGCAAACTGGCTGAATCCCACTACTGCCTACAACCACAATTAACCCCCAAATTCCAGTTGTTAAGTGAAACATTTGTTAAGTGAGTTTCAACCACCTTTCTTGCCACAGTTGTTGTGAGTCTGGCTTCCCCACTGATTTTGCCTGTCAAAATGTTGCAAAAGGTGATCATGTGACCTTGGGACACAGCAATGGTCATAAATATGAACCAGTTCAGATGAACATCTGAATTCTGAACACATGATCATGGGGATGCTACAAAGGTTGTAAGTTGAAAAATGGACAAGTCAGTTTTTTCAGTGCTGTTGCAACTTTGAATGGTCACTAAATAACCTGTTGTAAGTTAAGGACTAAACCTGTATTATACATAATATAATATTAACCTAGAGACTTCTAAGAACACCCAGTTTTTTTTATTCTCTTATATCAAGAATTCAGGTATCTAGTACCTAATGACAAATAAATTGAATACATTCTGATCCAGTTAAGGTTAATTGTGATTAAAGCCAACAAAATTTGATTCAGAGTTAATTGTGTTAAGAAATTAATGATAATTAATCAGTATTGATTGCAGTGGATTGACCATTACCATTACCAGCTACAAGAACAGAAAATTAGATATTGTTTATATTGTTGATGCAATAGCTGCATTTCTTCTATATGAACATCCAGAAAATATTTGATCAAGTTAAAATATCATGGCATGGTTGAATTATTCATCTTTACCAAAAGCAGTGAAATATGAAAGAATCTAACAGTACCTTAAAGACTAACCAATTGCAATATCGTGTCATGTGATAATTATGCTGGTTTTGCTTTAAAAAAGTAACATGGCCACCTTCAGGGAAATAAATAAACTGGGAGAAAATGTGTCTGAATATGTTCATTATCCAATCAGGACATACTTCCATCAGAAAAAAAATCAGCGGAAAATCTCGATGCATCATTAAAAAGTGGAATGGAATCAGTTCGCCAAACAAAGTGCTTTGAAACCTGTACATTTGGTTGTAAGGCTTGCTTTCACTGGGCAAATATGAATACTGCACATGTTGCACAAAAATCTATATACAACGTCGTTGGAGAACAGGTTCTCAAATTCTCCCTCAAGGAATGTAAGTCATATTTATATATATTTTTTGTTTAGATTTGTAGCTCACGCCAAAAACTTAAAAGCTACAGGAAGAAAAGCAATATAAATGGAGCTTTTAAGTGTTGTGTTCTAATCTATGAAAATCTCACTGTGACACATAGGGCAGTGTAGAATACATGACACTCATAGTAATTAGATTAAGTAAATGATATAGTGATGACATAAATTCAGCAGTGTATTTCAAAAAGATGGTGAAATTCTACTGGTTAACCTATCAATAATTCTTTTAGCACTTGCTAATTTAAATTATCTACTGTTCTCT